GGCTCCTTCTCTCTACTTGTGAGTGTTGCAGAACTCTCTCCTGATAGCCAAAATGGTCATTTCTTGGGCTAGAGAGATAGTGCAGTAGGTAGGGTACTTGCCTTGCACAGCCAGGAGTAATTCCCGGATGTGGGTCCAGTAATAACCCCTGAACATTGATGAATATACCCCCCCAAAAAAAATCCCAAAAAAGAAACCCCAAAACTTAAACAGTCTCAAAAACAGTTGAGACTTACTAAGAAATGGATTTTATGGCTAACTTTCCATATTTTCCTAGTACACACAGAAAATAGTATTCCAGAATATCACTGTATCACTGTTCATCGACTTGCTCGAGGGGGCCCAGTAACGTCTATAACCCACGATAGTCACTAGTTTCCATTTCTATGATTTTGTCATTTCAAAAGGATTGCATAAAAAAAGGAATCATTTATATAATCTTGTGAGGTTTGCTTTACTCAAGTTCTTTAGAGACTGACCCATGCTATTTCATGTACCAATTGCTTATTCCTTTTTGTTGCTGAGAAGTATTCCACAATACGGCTGTTCAGAAGTCTTAATGGTTTTCACAGTAAAGAACATCTGGGTTGTTTCCAATTTTGCACTCTTAGGAATAGTTGCTATAAACACTTTTTTACAGGTTTTATATGAAACTAAGTTTCCATTTGGGGGGGGGGCACACCTGACTGTACTGGGGGGACCCTGCAGTGCTGGCAATTGAACCTGACCTGTATGAAAACAAGTGCTCCGGCTCTTTGAGCTGTCTCTCTGACCCAAAAGGAAAACTTTATTATTGCATTTTTCTAACTTTTTCCTGCTTAAAATTTTTTCTGTAGCTCTTCATGAAAGTAAATCTGGTGACAAATTATTTTAATTCTCTCTTTGTCTGAGAATGTCTTGATTTCTCCTACATTTTTGCTGGATATAAAGTTCTGATTAGCTGTCCTTTCAGCACCTAAAATCATGTTTCATTTATAATATTTCTATTAACTTATAGCACAGCAGTAGGATGTTTGCCTTGCGCGCAGCCAGCCTGTTCTAGCTGGGTTCTATTCCTCTGCCCCTCTCTCAGCAAGCTACTGAGAGTATCTTGCCCGCACGGCAAAGCCTGGCAAGCTCCCCATGACGTATTCGATATGCCAAACACAGTAACAAGTAGTCTCAAAATGGAGACATTACTGGGCCCGCTTGAGCAAATTGATGAACAATGAGAGGACAGTTATTAATATTTATTATTACTAATACTTTTTTTGTGTTCTTTTGTTTCTAATGAGATATCCACTGTTATTTGTTTATTTCCCCCCACAGGTAGGTATAGTTTCTCTTTTGGCTTCTTTCAAAGTATTCTGTCTTGGGACCAGGGAGATAGCTCAGAGAACTGGCACATGTTCTTCCATAGCTACAGGACCCCAAATTCCATCCCTGGCACCACATGACCTCTGAGTATGTGTGGCACTGATGGTCCTGAGCAGCTCTGAATCACCAAACCAGAACCCCAAACTGCCAGGCCTGCACTACCAGCCCAAGATATTTCTCTAGTCCACTGATGGGTGAACGAACACACACATACTAACACACACACACCCACACACACACATACACACACACGCTTGCTTTCCAAGAAAAGAAAATATTTTTTCTTTATATTTAATAGGTTTTAGAAATTTAATTAAATGTGACGTGGCATGACTTTTTTTTTTTATCATGCATGGAGTTTAACTTAATCGGTTTATAGGTTTTTTTTATTTTTCTTTTTCCAAAATTGGTAACATTTTCAGCCATTCTTCTTTGAGAACTTTCACTTTCATTCTTAGTTCTTCTGGGTTCCAGTGATTACAAATGTTAGATCCACAAGGAATTAGATTTTTATTTTCTCTGTTGTTTAGATTAGGTGATTTGCACACTAATATCTACCAGGCAACATTGATGTTACCCCAGCTTGGGCATCCATTGATTTTTTTTTTCATTATCTTAAATCTTCCTAGTTTCAGATAATGATGAGTCACTTTCTCTTGCAATTTGGGCAGTTTATTATAGTATTCTGAGAGTGATATTATTTACAGTTTTTGTTTTCATTAGCCTTTTTTAAACGTTTCGGCAGTGACTTCGTGGGTGCCTTCTGATTCCACTGGTGGTCTTAGAATTCCTGATTCCTTATTCATCCTCCGCATGAAAAGAGCTCTTTGTTATTGTTGGGTGGGGTGCAGGTTCTGCTTCCCACATGGTACACGCTGATACTGCTAGAGCAGAAATGGGGGTTATGTCACAGCCAGAGGAGTGCAAGTCTTGGCTTATGCCCTGGCTGACATTATCGTGGTGGTAAAGAACCTTTCCATGTCGTTTCATGAGGTAGAAATCTAGGCAACTGCAGCAGGTGTGTGTTTAGTGTCTGGTGGGGGAGTATGGGGATGGAGTGTTTTGTGTTGTGTTGGCCGGATATAAAGTGATTTTTAATCTATAAAGTTTTCTCTTTGCTCCCTCCTTCCCTATGCTGAGTGTTTGTTCATGGCCCTTTGCTCAGGATCGACAAAAATAATTCCTGGCAGGGGGTGGGGGTGAAGCCAGGGGGGAGAACATAGTACATCCCTACGTGGCACCTGATTGACCTGGGTTGGCTACACAAGCCCTACCCACTGTGCTATCTCTCCTGCTCCACCCTTTCCTTATTCCTGTGATTACAGAAAGCAAACTTTTAAGTTTTTTTCCCCCTTGGTCTCTGCCTGTCGGTATTTCTAGGATGTTGAATTCGTTAGCGTTGAGTATGGAATATATTAGGCCAAAAAAGGAAACTCAGAGAACTCATCAGTTTATCGTTAGTTGGGACCCAAGGTCCCAACTGGTTAGTCTGCCTTTACAATGGTTTGTTTGTATCTTGTAATATGTTTTTTCCTTATTAAATTAAGCTTCATTTATTTCCCATCCTTTTGTTGTTGTTGCCAATGAGATGAAAGGCTGGGGAGGACGTGGCGGGCAGGGGAGGAAGTGGCGGGCAGGGGCTCCCCACACTTGGTTGTGTTTATACATATTCTGTTGTAACCACAGGAGTTCAAGGTGGCAGAGGTGCAGAGAACACACTCAGCATATGTGAGTAGCACCAGGGATAAACTCAGGGTTTCATGCTTGCAAGACAGGTGCAGTTAGCCACTGAGCTATTTCTTTGGACCTCCTTATATAATGTTCAGGGATATTTAGTTGTACCAAGCAAAAGAAACAGAAAAGTATACCTTATTTCATCTTCCTGGAAAAAGAAGACTCCAGATTTACATTTTAAACCTATTTAAATAGCACTTCACTGTAGTACTGTCCTCCAGTTGTTCGTCGATTTGCTCGAGCGGTCACCATTAACGTCTCACAACAAATTGGAGACTTGTTGTTACTGTTTTTGGCATATCGAATACGCCACAGAGAGCTTGCCAGGCTTTGCTGTGCAGGCGAGATAGTCTCGGTAGCTTGCCGGGTTCTCTGAGATGGGCGGAGGAATCGAACCCGGGTCAGCTGCGTGCAAGGCAGATGCCTTACCCGCTGTGCTGTCGCTCCAGCCTAAACCTATTTAAATAGTTCTATCAAATATGTAGCCATTATAGAACAGGGGAAATGACACATAATTTGTGTACTATGGGATACTTTGTGTGATATTGTGTTACTGGGAATTACTAGAAAACATCTTTATTTAAACTGGAATTCATTCTCCCTCTCAGACTCATTTCACTTAGCATGATATGTCCATCCACTTACAATCAAATTTCATGGCTTCATCTCTCCTAACATAGCATACTATTCCATTGTGTAGATGTACCAAAGTTTCTTTAACCAGTCATCTGTTCTCGAGCACTTGGATTGTTTTCAGATTCTGGCTATTGTGAACAGTGCTGCAGTGAACATGCAGGTGCAGATGTCATTTCTACTGTGCTTTTTTGCACCCCGGGATATATTCCCAGAAGTGGTATTGCCGGATCATATGGAAGCTGAGTTTCTAGGGTTTTTTTTGACGAATGCCCATATTATTTTCCAGAAACACTGGACCAGTCGGCATTCCCACCACCAATGAAAAAGAGTCCCTTTCTCCCCACATGTGTGCCAGCCTCTGTGGTGTGAGATGATATCTCTGATATCTCATTGTTGTTTTGATTTGTATCTATCTCCCTGATGATTAGTGAGTAGAACATTTTTTCATGTGCCTTTTGGCCATTTATATTTCTTTTTTGAGGAAGTTTCTGTTCATTTCTTCTCCCATTTTTTGATGGGGTTGGAGGTTTTTTTCTTGTATAGTTCTGATGTCTTGTATATACATATACTGGATATTAACCCCTTATCTGATGGGTATTGGGTAAATAATTTTTACCATTCAGTGTGCTCTCTTTATTTTGGTCACTTCTTATTTTTTGAGGTGCAGAAGCTTCTTAGTTTAATGTAGTCCCATTTGTTTACGTTTTTTTCCACTTGCTTGGTCAGTGGTATTCCACCCTTAAAGAGAGGGACAGACATAGAATGACTACATTCATTTGTGGAATATAGAATAACGTGATATGAGACTGGCACCCAAGGACAGTAGAGACAAAGGCCAGGAAGATTTATCCACAGTTGGAAGCCTGCCTCATGAACTGGGTAAGAAGGAAGCAGGGATAGAAAAGGGATCACTAAGTCAATGATGGTTGGAGGAATCGCTCAGGATGGAAGGTGTGTTCTGAAAGTAGGTAAAGGACCAAACATGGTGGCCTCTAAGTCTCTGTATTGCCAATCATAATGCCCCAAAGTAGAGAGGGAGAAAGAAGGAAATTGTCTGCCACAGAGGCAGGGAGTAGGATTGGCAGGAGTGATACTGGGGACATTGGTGGTGGAAAATGTACACTGGTGGAAAGATAGGTGCTTGATCATTGTTTGACAGAAATTCAATCATGAAAGCTTTGTGATTATCTCACTGTGATTCAATTAAATTTTTTTTAATTAAGTAAACTGAAGTTCATTGTTCACATCATTAATGATAACTTTTCCCTTCTTAGGAAATAATGCAAAAGGTGTCCCAAGGCTCCTGACCAGTGAACAGAGAGTTGAGAAAAAAGCCAAGCTCATGTTTTCTCCTGATCAAGAAAATCATCCATCCAAAGCACCAGTAAAATATGGTGAACTCATTGTCTTAGGGTAAGCTTTCTCCATCCAATGACACGTGACATTGAAAAACTTACAGAACTTTGACATTAGGTTAAAAGTCTATTTTTTCAGAATTCATATCATACTTATTTCCAAAAAGGATATGAAGCCATTAAGTGCTATTACTAAATCAAGAAGCATCACTCTTAGACTGTTTATTATAAGTACCTAAATGCCATATGAAGTTTGCCACATCCTTACTCCTAGAAAGAACAGTTTCTTCTTTTTTTTAATTTTTATTAGTGAAACACCATGAAGTACAGTTGTAGACGTACAAATTTTTGTGCTTGGGTTTCAATTACACAATGATAAAATACCCATCCCTCCACCAGTGCCTATTTCCCACCACCACAGATCCCAGTATCCCTCCGCCCCCCCCCCCCCCCATCCCACCCTGCCTCTGTGGCAGGGCATTCCCTTTTTTTCTCTCTCTCCTTTTGGGTGCTGTGGTTTGCAAAAGAGGCATTGAGTGGCAATCATAAGAACAATTTCTTAAAGAAATGAAAGGTGTGTTTGAACTTAAAGTTACTCTATCTTTTGTCCCTATCCCATATTTTAGGGAAAAAAATTATCTGAACTGATTTTTCCAAGAATCATTCCCTTTAGATCAATGTAAATAGATTGATATTTATTTGCTTTTTGAAACTGCGTGAGGTAGTTGTTGCTTTGTGCTTATTATTATGGTCCTGTATAATGATGAAAGGACTTGTATAAGACTCCTGATGACTGAAGCCCAGGATCTTGTTACTTGTTGGCTTCAAAAGTACTGTGATTCATACAGCTACTACAGAGACCGTCTAAAGACTGAAGAAAAGATGATGCCAATATTTCAGTTTATTTCATCTAAAGTGCTATAACTGTCAAAATGAGATGAGACTCATGTTCGTCAATTAAGTAGAAATCTCAAAAACTAGAAATCATACATTTTACTTTCTTCCAGCTGTTTCTCTTCTGCCTAAAGAAATCTCTAGACGTAATAGGATGTTTTAGAATCAGCCTGATAATATAAGTTCATGTTTCAGTGAGAATGTACCTGTCATTTCACATGATAAAATAAGAGAAACTGGGGAGATAATAAGCTTAAGTTCTTGGTGGAGAGTGAGGAATTCTAGACTCTGAGCTGTTTCCAACATTGCCAGCCATATGGCCTTGTATAAGCCACTTAACCATTTTGGACCTTTGTTTCCTCTCCTGAAAATGACAGAGAAGATTAGCTAATTTCCTTAGAGACAAATAATTTTCCCTCAAAACCAGAACTTAAGGTCTAAGTGATACTACAGCAGGCAGGGCTTTTGTAATTTGCACACAGCCAGCCTGGATTCAAGCCCCGGAATCCTAGATGGTCCCCTGAGCACCCCTAGGAGCAATTTTGAGTGCAGAACTAGGAGTGACCCCTGAGCATCACTGGCTATGTTTCAAAAAAAAAAATCCCAGAACTTTAAAAGTCATAAAGTTGGGGCCAGAAAATACAGGGGTAAAAAGGCTCTTGGCTTGCATGCAGCTACTCTGGTTTAACCTCATCACCACATACAGTTGCCTGAGTATAGCCAGGAGTGATTCCTGAGTGCTGCTGAATGTGACCCAAAAACCAACAACCACCACCACTGCCCCCCCCCAAAAAAAGAGACAATAAGCTTAATAAAATAACTATTGTAATGCCACTTGAATAGATATCTTTATATTTTGATAACAAGCAGTTTTAAACTATCAAACACCTGTCCTAAGTTAAATTCTCTTAGCAGGAAATTGGAATCATTTAAAGACTAAAATTAATCAAAAGAAAATTTGATGTTTTGGGACCACACCTGGAGGTACTTAGGGCTTACTCCTGGCTCTGTACTCAGGGATCCTTCCTGTGGGCTTGGGGAACATACAGAACATGCTAGGGACCAAACTCAGGTCAGCATGTGCAAGCAAGCACCATATCCACTGAACTAGCACACCAGCTTCTAAAGTTTTAAATTTAATACATTTAATCATTTCACTTAGCATTTTTTCAGTTAATCCTCATTAATAGTAGTCATTTCTGTATCTGGCACTTGGTATCTAAATACAAATAATGCTTCTCAACCCACTAGAAAAAGAGGTAAAGCACAGGATAGGATCAGCAGTTTTGTATTATTGTTGCTTAGCAAAGTGTTTTGAGCTATAGAAATTTGACATGGAAGAAAGAGCCTGTTTCTAGAAGAGGAAGAAATTCTGCAACTTAGTGAACAATAGTGAGGATCAGTATAATAAACCACATTGTGGTCTTGAGACAGCACACAGCCTGAACTAGCCAAATTGATAGTCTCTTAAGGGACTTTCCTTTTTAAACAAAATTACCAATTCCTTGCTCCAGTAGAATTTAGTGTTTCGTTTTTCATAAAGAGTTTTTTTTTTCTGCACATGGCAGTCTTTGAGTAAGCTCTCCTCTTTGTGCCTCACATATGGTTCCTTGTACCCTGCCTGATTTCTTCCCTGCAGTGAATGAGGAGTTTATCATTAAACTACTGCTTATGCCATAATGTAGCAAAAAGGTTAAAAGACTTGGCAAATATTTAGACTTATCTTTTTGACTTTGCCATTGTCACTTGCCTGACTTTCAGATAATAATAATATCTCTGAGACTCCGAGGAACATAATTCTCTGAGGAATAATTTTAATTACTAATCTGTAAAAATGGGAAGTGATATCAGTCTCACAGGGTTCGTGTGAGAATGTATGAATTAAAGTGATATATGAAATAGAACCCAGTAATGCTTACAACAGAATAAATACCAAATGTTTTATCTTCATTTATTACTTCAAGTCCTTGATTATTTACTTACCTTTAGAGTATACAACACACACACACACACACACACACAATCTAGCTGTAGTTGAATGTTTGTTTTCCTAGTAGAAAGTTTTTTGTCTTAGTAATGCTGCTTCTTTTCTTGCTCCTTTGATTACAGAAAACATCCTTTGGTTAGGGTTTTGTTTTGTTTTTGGTTTGGTTTTTTTTCCCCAATTGGTAATTTGGGGTTGTTGAGTTCTTTAGCTCTGAATATAGGGTATATTGGGCATAAGAGGAAACACAAAGAACTCACCATTGTCTTGTTTAAACTGTTACTTTGCAGTCCTCTCAATTGGATGAGTTTTGTCAACAATGTGTGTATATTCAAGTAACTGAAACTTTTAACAAGCAAGTCTAAAATTTATTTCAAAAGATAGGCTATTTTAAAGTGTTCGAGTCACAATTAAGGGTGATTCTATTTTAAACAATTCATACTTCCTCTAAAGGCTATATTAGCACATGCAAACATTTATTATTCAAAAAAGTTGAATGAATCATAGGGAGACAGATATGTTATTAATCAGTTCTTCAATAGAAGAGGGAAGAAAAAGGAGCTATGTATAATCTTAGGACTATGTATAATACAAAAGGTAAGTTCTCTGTGCTTTGGAATGTAGCCAGGAAGAATCTCATTTTGTTTTATACTAGCTTGAGGATCAGTGATTGCTAAAATGAATTTGAGATAATTACATTATGTTAATTGATAATTGGGAATTGATCCTGTAAGGCAAAGTAAAATATTTGCTTTAAAAATATGTTCATCTTATTCTAAACTTCTTTTCTCCCTTCAGGTATAATGGGTCTCTCCCAAATGGAGACAGAGGAAGAAGGAAAAGTAGATTTGCTTTATTTAAAAGACCTAAGGCAAATGGGGTGAAGCCCAGCACTGTGCATATTGCTTGTACTCCTCAGGCTGCAAAGGTAAAAATTTAAAAAATAAATTGTGTTAACCTGGAGAAATTGGAAAACCATAAATGTCACTTACATTCTTTAGCATACTCTTTACAATTCTTTTTTATTTTGTTTTGTTTTGTTTTTATGATGCATTCAGAGGTGCTCAGAACCAACTTCTTTCTGGCTCTACTCAGGGTTACTGCTGGCTCCATGCTCCATGCTAGCAGCATTGCCTGGGAGCAAACTTGGGCCTCCTGCACGCAAAGCAGTCTCTCCAGCTCTCTCTGAACATTTCTGTACCAGAAGCTTGCTATTGTTTAAATGGGAGAAGGCACTTGGTAACAGTCTTTAAACATGTGCCAGATGGAAAAGGATTGGACAAATGAGTGTGTGGATATTCGAAACAATTCCATTCCTTAATTTTAATGAACGGGTGTGAGGCTGGGACATCCTCAAGTCCTTAGGATGATGTAGTTGCCGGCCTTGAGAATCAGGGAATTTACATTGCTACTAGAAAGGCCTCGTGCAAGGCTCTATAAAGACTTTCACTTTTTGCTCCTTGCTTTGTTGTGTTTCTCGTATTTTCATTGTCAGCTTTTTATTATCTTTACTAGTAAAGTAAAGTAAAGGCCCTCCCATTGTTCATCGATTTGCTCAAGTGGGCCCAGTAATGTCCCCATTGGAGATTTTGTTGTTACTGTGTTTGGCATATCGAATACATCACGGGTGGCTTGCCAGGCTCTGCCGTGCGGGCGAGACACTCTCGGTAGCTTGCCGGGCTCTCCGAGAGGGGCGGAGGAATCGAACTCGGGTCGGCCATGTTGGCTGCGTGCAAGGCAAGCGCCCTACCGCTGTGCTATTGCTCCAGCCCTAGATAACAACTTTATAATTAAATACTGACTCTTTAAATTTTGGAAGACTGTATTAGTGAGGTTATGGAGAAAACTTCCTTCTAGTCTAGTGAGAATTTAGTTCTAGAAATAGTGTTACTCTAAATTTAAGAAATTTAAAAATTGATTTAATAACCAGAAAAATCAGAATAAACCAAAAGTCTAAGTCTGTTCTTTGTGTTCTAGATAAAAGACCAAAAAATGTGTTCTTAGACCCTGGAATGATAGTATAGTGGGTAAGGCACTTGCCTTGCACGTACCATCCCAGGTTTGATCCCTAGCACCCCATAAGGTCCCTGAGCCTGCTGGGAGTGATCACTAAGTACCACTGGGTGTGGCCCATACCCTCCCTCAAAAAAAAAATCTGTTCTTAAATCCTTTGAGTCATGTAGAACTAACTGAAAATACTGAGCAATTATCAAGTCAGTTGATTTAAAAGTTAGTTGTTTAGGGGCTGGAATGATAGCATAGTGGGTAGGGCATTTGCCTTGTACACGGCCGACCTGGGTTCGATCCCCAGCATCCCATATGGTCCCACAAGAACCGTGAGGAGTGATTCCTGAGTGTGTGAGCCAGAAGTAACCCCTGTGCATCGCCGGGTGTGACCGAAAAAGCAAAAAAAAAAAAGAAGTTGTTTAAAGCTGAATTAAATAATAGGTTTTTTTAAACTGTTATATTTTATAAATCAGTACTTAAAAATTTTTCATTGTATTCATTCTGAAAGTTGGTTACCCCTATAGAGAATGAGGGGCATGTGAAGAAGGGTCTGTTGTATTTTTAGAGTTCAGTTGCTTTTTCTTTTATTCATTTATTTATCTTTGCTTTTGGGGTCACACCTGGCGATGCTTAGGGTTACTGCTGAACCCAGGTCAGCCGCGTACAAGGCAAATGCCCTACCCGCTGTACTATCACTCCAGCCCCTCAGTTGCTTTTTAAAAATCAGACAAGGACATATTACTAAACTTGGATAGAGCTAACTGGGAAATACTCAGTTGTTTATTCTTTTTGTGTATTTGAAATTTTCAGTCTTTATTAACATTAGAGCTAATGTCTCAAGACTTTATCTGTTACACATTAACTACAAATTAAAGCACTGTAGCACTGTCCTCCCATTGTTCATTGATTTGCTCCAGCAGGCACCAGTAGCGTCTCCATTGTGAGACTTGTTACTGTGGTTGGCACACTGAATACACCACAGGGAGCTTGCCAGGCTCTGCCGTGTGGGCGGGATACTCTCGGTAGCTTGCCAGACTCTCTGAGATGAACTGAGGAATCGAACCCCAGTTGGCCACGTGCAAGGCAAACACCCTACCGCTGTGCTGTTGCTCCAGACCTAAGTGATAGCACAGCGGAACTACAAATTAAGACGTAGTAAAATTATGAAGCTTTTTGGTTTTTCTGCTAAGAATGACTTATTTTCAGTTAGTCTTTTTGCTGTATATAGAGCAACTCTTTGATCTGTACAAACTGTTTCCACTTAATTTGTACCATTCTTCTATTCCTCTGATACTATCTTTAACTCAGATACATAGAAATGCCTACAAACAAAACTGGAAAAGTATTTTTGGCAGTTTTTTGTACATTTGAATGTCAGGAATATAGTCATAGGTATTATATCAGTTTCCTTTGATAATGTTTTGATCATTCTATGAATTTTTCTATAGCTCAGCTAGCACATAGCAAGTATTTGTCATTCAGAGAGACACAAAATGGTTAGGAATACTTTTAGCTCTGCTTATTAATTAACTTTTTTAACTCTTGGAATTACTTTAAAAATAAAGTTTCCCTTGAAAAATGTTGTGTTCTCTATGTGGAATTTGGTTTTTTGTTTGCTTAATTATTTAAAATACTACCAAGGGCGACTCAGATTTTTTAGTATTTTTTATACAACAAAATTATGTTAATATCTCCTCAATTTATTATATACTCTGCTCAATTAAGAAATTGCTGTCACAGTAGATATTATGCAAGTTATTAATCTCTACCCCATACCTCAAGGATAAAACATGTATATAATAAGCCTAACTTTTTTTAATCTGATTGGCCTACTTACTCATTTTTGCAATTACTCTTTCTTTCCTTAGGCAATAAGCAACAAGGACCAGCATAGCATATCATACACCTTATCTCGTGCCCAGACAGTGGTGGTTGAATATACTCATGACAGCAACACTGATATGTTTCAGGTATTATAATAGATTATTTGGTTCTTTGCCTTTAAAAAGAATATATAAAGCCCATTATAAAGGTAACTTTTGCTGCCATTAAAGAATGCTGTGTTTTCATAATGTATTTATTAAAATATATGTTAATTTCTAAATTCGTTTTTAAATATCTTGGAATGACTGAAAAATAGTTTCTGAAATCAGATTTCCTGGAAACATTGCTTAGGTACTCTCTGCCTCAATTTCCTCTTATAAAGTGGAGATCATAGAACATCCTTCATGATTATTGGGAAACGTGTTAGTACAGTCAATGTTTCAGAGCTGTGTACAAGTATTAATAAGAGTGAGTAGCTGTGGCTAAAACTCCATTAGCTATCATTATCCAAAAGAAAGAACCAGGAAGTATTCTATACATGTATATGACCATTGTTTGCTACTTTTTTCTGCCTTTCACTCTCATGGCAGTCTCTAAAAATACGAAGTGACACTTGTTTCATACTTGATGAAAGATATTAGAGAAAAGGCAGCTTTTTTCTCTTACTCTTTGTTCTAGTTCATGCAGTTATTTTTACAAACTGATAGATAATAGATGTAAAAATCAAAGATGTAAATAGAATTTATGATAGTATCTTCCTTAACTTGGTTTTCATAAATTCTTGGGGTTTTTTTTACAGATTTAAATAGATAATCTATTATTATTCCAATTATTTTTTGATTAAAGAATTTTAATATTAAATGAAGATGAAAAGGTTTGGCGATATCTTCCATAATTAATAGAAAAATATTTGAGATCTCTTTTTCTGACTCTTTAATAAAATCTTTAATTTTTTTATAATAGGAGAAATGCCTTTCATTTCAAAAGTCTGAGACCATTTCCTTTGAATATTGTTGATTTAAAAATAAAAGGCATATACAGTCTTATGTTTATTAACCAATCAGTTTCTCCTTTAAAACTATCCTGGACTTTATACTTGATGATAAGACAAAATACTAGCATTTTTATCTAAAAGTCTTGATACAAGCATTCTTAAGACATAACTATACAGAGAATTATTTCAAGAGCCATCGTAGTATTTTTTTTCTCAGCACCACATTCTTTAGCTTTTTATAATACTACTTTGTCAAAAATCAAATAAATTGATCATTTCTTTGTGTTGGTTTTGGTTTTGGGCCTCACCTGGCTATACTCTGGGTAACTCCTGGCTCTGCACTCAGGAACTACTGACATGCTTGGGAGACCATATAGGATGTTGGGGATCAAATCAGGGTCATCCTCATGCAAAGCAAATGCCCTACCCCTGTACTATCTCCGAAGAACCTATGACTGTTTCTACTTTTATCATCTATTTCTCTGATCTTTTTTTTCTTCAAATGTTATCTTTCAAAATGATAAGCACCTCTGAAGATGTGTATTTGCTGGCACTTCCTCTACCAGAACTGGAAGCCAAGTTTCTGAAATGTAAGAAACAAGAATAAAATGAAAAAAGACACCTAAGCATATTAGATATTTTCCACATTAGGGGCCAGAGTGGGTAGGGTGTTTGCCTTGCATATAAGTTACCTGGGTTCCATATGATCCATTCCATGTGGTCTCCTGAGCATACATATATAGTACTGAAATTTGTTTTCAGTACTACCTAGAAATTTCTTAGGCGTTCAACAAGAATCTTTTGCAGTGCGGTTTTTCAACATATAGCAGAACAAGAGTAGCTAGTTAGAAGAGGGTGTGCTTTTAGACATGTAGCAACAAATAACTGACACCTGACCAAAAAAAACATAAGAAAACGTATGAAGTTTACATAAGACCTCAAAACAAGGCCATATGAATATGAACTTAAGGAAGAAGAAGAACATTCTTGTACACTTTCATAAAGACATCAGTGCATTGAAACTTAATAAAATGCTTTTTAGATTACAGATGTTGCTCAGTAGTCAAGTACCTGACATATATTGTGCTAGGTTTTGTGTTCGATTCCTGACTCTATAAAAAAAAAATTATATTTGGTGTCATATCCTGGAATCATAAAATATTTTAATTATGTTCACTGTTTTCTTAAAGTTTGTAATTTATTGTAGAATATTTTCTTACAGTGAAATAATTAAATCTGTAATCATCTGGAAGCTCAGTCATATTAAATTCTTTATTCCCTTGAGTGTTACTGGGTCATAAGTTCTCACTTAATTCTATGCTCCCTGATTACTGCACCAGAAAAAGTCTGAGATTGGTTTTCAAAAATACAGATATTCTCAGAATTAAGCATATGATAAGTTGAGCTTTAGACATTTTAGTGGCTTAGTGATTTTTATTTTTCTTGCAGGGAGTGAGGGTTTGGGCCACACCCAGAGCTGCTCTGTTTCTGCTCAGGGATCACTCCTAGTGGGAGTCAGGGACATATGCAGTGCGAGGGATTGAACCCATGTTGGCCACATGCAATGCAAGTCTTTCTTACCTTACTGTCTCACAGGACCTGTGACTTTATTGAATGAATTTTCAGCTATTTTCCTTTGAAAGTTTATGGATGTTTTTAATTTCTCCTTTTAGATTGGTCGATCCACTGAAAGTCCAATTGATTTTGTAGTAACTGACACAGTTCCTGGAAGTCAGACTAATTCAGATACACAATCCGTGCAAAGTACTATATCGAGATTTGCCTGTAGAATCATATGTGAACGGAATCCCCCATTTACAGCACGAATTTATGCTGCAGGATTTGACTCGTCCAAAAACATCTTTCTTGGGGTAAAATCTTTTTTGTCCGAACAATACATTTTAAATATATACTTTTCTATTTGAAAAATCACCAAAAAAAAGGAAACTTGCTGTTATTCTTACCAGGAAAAGGCTGCCAAATGGAAGACATCAGATGGGCAGATGGATGGCTTAACCACTAATGGTGTTCTTGTTATGCATCCCCGCAATGGGTTCACAGAAGACTCCAAGCCTGGGATATGGAGAGAAATATCTGTATGTGGAAATGTATTCAGTCTGCGTGAAACCAGATCAGCTCAACAGAGAGGAAAAATGGTAAGTCCTGAGATGTAATTTCCTGTTTTATCTCCCATAATCAGCACATTGGATGATTTGGACTACAAGTATTTCCCAAATACTTTTAAATCTTAAATCACTCTTAAATCTGCTGCTGACGCAGAGTACCAAGTCTAACTGTGAAGCACTGATCATCAAATATTATACTATACTAGGGACTGTATCTTAATGTTTAAAGATGTTTTATTTCTACTACATTAGTATATCTTGAGACCTAAGATTTCTTTAAAAATAAAAATTGTTTTGGGAGGAGGGTGGTTTGGGCCACCCCTGTAATAATCAGGGGTTTACTCTTGACTCTGTGCTCAGGAATCACTGTTGGTGGGTTATAGGGACCATATTGGATGTCAGGGATCAAACTGAGGTCAGTGCATGCAAGATAAGTACTTTACCCACTGTACTGTCTCACCCCTACCTTTCTTAAATTAAAGCATCAACCTCTACCCAGAGCCAGGAGTAAGCCCTCCTGGGGACCAATGGTAATGGCCCAACAAGCCAAAAAAAAAAAAAAAACGGAGTTAAAGGGCTGAAGCCATAGTACAGTGGGCAGGGTGCCAGGTTTGATCTCTGGCATTCCATGTGCAAAATAAGTAACAGGATTTTTTTCTATTTTTGGTTATGACCTTACATGATATCTACCTAACTGTAAATATTAAACTTACTAATTACCCAGATGGTTTAATCATATGTCCTCTTTAAAGCTGAAAAGAGGTTTGTTACTGCTCAATATTTTATCCAATATATATCCTTGATATAAACACTTGTCATTATTGCCTTTAGAGCGTCTTAAATATTTAGGAAATGCTGATTCTCAGGTAAGGAACATGTCATCCCCAAATATTATTAAGTCCAAAACACAGTGGTGAATATGTTTTTTGATTTCCACCTCACCCTTCCCCCTACAGGTGGAGATTGAAACCAATCAGTTACAAGATGGCTCATTAATTGACCTGTGTGGTGCAACTTTGCTGTGGCGTACAGCAGAAGGCCTTTCCCACACTCCTACAGTGAAGCATCTAGAAGCTTTAAGACAGGAAATCAATGCAGCAAGACCTCAGTGCCCTGTAGGGTTCAACACACTAGCATTTCCTAGTATGAAGAGGAAAGATGTTGTTGATGAAAAGCAACCATGGGTATATTTAAACTGCGGCCATGTGCATGGCTATCATAACTGGGGAAACAAAGAAGAACGTGATGGAAAAGATCGTGAATGCCCTATGTGTAGGTCTGTTGGTCCTTATGTCCCTCTGTGGCTTGGATGCGAAGCTGGATTTTATGTGGACGCCGGCCCTCCCACCCATGCATTCAGCCCTTGTGGGCATGTATGTTCCGAAAAGACAACTGCCTATTGGTCCCAGATCCCGCTTCCTCATGGTACTCACACTTTCCATGCAGCCTGTCCCTTTTGCGCACATCAGTTGGCTGGTGAACAAGGCTACATCAGACTTATTTTCCAAGGACCTCTAGACTAACAGACAGTTGTCCTCCAGGACTGCGGTATACGTTTATAAGCTAAGCAAGTTGGGGTTTCCAACCTGTTGTCCACATCACAGTTTCTCTGCTTTGGTCATTTGCATTAAGATGAAGAATTTTTTAAACCTTTATAATAGCAGTTTATGAGAAAAAATCTGGGAAACTCAAGCAAAAGAATTTCCGAAAGTAACCAGACTTCTGAATTTTTGAGTGTGGAAGATATATTTTGAGGAAAAAAAGACAGTCTAATTTGATGCCTTCATTTTAGTGTTTTGAATCACCCATCCTCAGTGCTGAAAATTGTTTTGTATAACTGAGGGTACTGTTGGTTCAAACTATGTTAGTTTACAGTTCGTTGCAAACGTTGTAAAATACGCAACATGTATATTTACTTTTTTTCTATTTATCTTTATTATAGGAGATATCTTAGAATGTTTTTGATAGAGTAGCATGGTAACAATGGTGTCACACTTTTAGTGTGAATGGTAGTTTAGCAAGCATAACTCAAGGATTTTCAAAGTAGGAAGAAGGACAAGAGAGCTCTCCCCACCCCCCATTTCAATATGGAATTTGATAAACTAGAATATTTATAAAACCAAATTCATATTCTCATTGTGTAAAAGGTATTTGTTTTTAACCACATTGAAGATAACCAGGAAAGATTTTTTTCCTTGATGTTTCAATTGTAGTACTATAACAAAAATTTAATGTTAAGAAATATTTTATATGCTCCTTTGAATATGCAATTTAATCCAGATTATCTATTTTTCTCCCATGATAACGAATCTGTTTTTAGTATCAGCAACATTTGGCAAGTTTATTTTTTAGATATAAACTGTGGTTCATCTGTTCACTGTTTCTAGAAAAAAAAAATTTCCCAGGAGGAAAAGCATAAATTAACAAGAAAAAAGAATGGATTGACTTGCTTTTAGAAAAAGAAATGACTATTCTCTATTTGTCCTTACCCAGGCATTAGGAAATTAGATGTAATGGGTTGAATGACATTAGTGCCCCCCTTTTTAATCTAACAGACCAGCCTTAATTGTGGAATTGAGTTCTATAGAGTTGCCACAGAGTGACTCAGAGGAATGTTTGGTTGGCTGATAAGCACCAGAGACTGCGGAGTAGAGGAACATACTTGTATGGTCTGTTTATTCCTAATACTAGTAAGATATTTGCCTTCAGAAGCAAGAAACTTTGTCTCTCCTCCTTGCCCCTTTTTCTAATGTACCACAAAGTATAGACAGTTGCACTACATCAAACCCTTTGTGACACTTGTAGAAATAAATACACTTTTAGAGTAGACAGAATTATTTTTTGATCTTTGTTTTCCTTTAGCTCAAAAAATTATATAATAATTGTCTAGAAAATTTTTTACGTGGTAGCATAGCTTTAATTTATCCAATTACAATGCTGTTCTGAAGTTTCTTTTGATTTAATAACAAAACAAAAAAACTTGTTCCTTAGAAGCCATGAACCTTTTTTATTTTACTTCAACTTGTCAAAATTTCCTTGTTTTTAAAAATGATCATTTGGGTTCACTCAGGAAATGCATGTCAGGAAACTTGTATTATAAGTTTACTAGTTGTGATGTATCAGTAAATACTGTTACCCCTTTTTCAAAGATGTATAATTGATTTTAAAGTTTTCTAGATTGTCACATGTTTTGTGACTAATGCAAGGAAATCAAGTCCTGTGTTGTATTTGTTCTAGTCATTTCTATTCAAGCTATATATTGTAGCTGATTTTTATTTGCAATTAATTTATTCAAACTAAAATACTTTTCAAAATAGAAACTTCAATTTGTCTCTGTGGATTCATTTTTGCATAACTGAGAATGGGTTCATTTTTGTGTAACTGACTTGTGGAAAATCTGCCTCACACTCTAGAAGTATTTACCTGGAAAAAAATGAGGAATTTTCAGTTACTATAACATTTTAAATCTTTGTTTCTCTTGTGAAAGCATTTCATATTAATAAATGAATTTTCTTTAGTGGGTAAATAATTGAGACCTTTTCTGAGTTAAGTCCTACTCAAGAGAGTTTTCTTTTTGTACGTTGCATACTAAACTAAGTAGTGCTTCAGTGACCATAAAAGATTGATGTTTTTCTGAATATTCTTGAATATGCTCATAATAGCTGGAAAAATCTGGTTCCTTTTCTATCAAATTCAAGTTTTGATAACAGGTAATTCGATTTATTAGGTATTTTTCTGTTCAAGCATTTTGAATATTCTGTCATTTTGCCAAAGCCTAATAGAACACTTCTGCTTGCTTGGTTTACTTATTAAGGGAATGTCAGTAATCTAGCCGAGAAGAAATCGTTATTTTAGGTCTCCTAATGCTATTCTCACGAAAGTGGCTTTCTTTCTGTCTTTACCTCTTTATCAGAGTGATCTAAATATGTTTTTTAATTTGTACTGGAAATTCGGACTGGAGCGATAGCACAGTGGGTGGACGTTTGCCTTGCATGCAGCCGAGCCAGGTTTGATTCCTCCACCTTTCTCAGAGAGCCCAGCAAGCTACCGAGAGTATCTCACCCGCACAGCAAAGCCTGGCAAGCTACCTGTGACGTATTCGATATGCCAAAAACAGTAACAAGTCTCACAATTTGTTGTGAGATGTTACTGGTGTCCGCTTGAGCAAATCGATGAACAGCGGGAGAACAGTACTACCCACAGTGCTACTGAAAATTCAGTTTGCTTCCACTGAAATATTAGGGTCATGGAGCAAGATGGTGGGTGTTCAGAAGAAAGGAATTATTTTTTTTTACTTAATTGAGATTCTGTGATTTACAATACTGTTAATGATGGTTTCCCATACTTTTATCAGGGTATCTTGAAATTAGTTTACTTCCATTTATAGAAAATCTTCTAGAACATGAAAAGCAATAGAGGAACATTTTATAATTTCACTTCAGAGATCTCATGTTAAAAGATCTATTGTGTTTCTGCCTGAAGCATAACATCACAAAAAGACCCCTTAATTGAACTATCTTCATTATCTGCCTCCCATTTACAGTATTACTCACATATAAGTATATTTGAAGGCCACACCCTCAGATTTTGTACTTTCGATCTTCAAGCAGTTAGTGGCGTAGCCACTGCACCAATTCCTAAGTATAGCTATTGTATGATGTGGTCAGAAAAATTGTCCCTTTCCTTCATAAGGTATGTATCAGAGTCGGGGAGATTGAAATGAAATAAAGAGCCTGAGTGATAGTAGATAGTATTGAAGATTGAGTTGGAAAAAAGATACAAAATAATGCAAGGGAAAGATTGTATAGAGTTTGCAATATTAAGTATCAGGGCAAGAGAAAACCCCACTGGAAAGTTGATAATTATGTAAGATTAGTGGCTACACAGAGGAGCATTTATCACACGGTGCTCTAGCAATTGCACGGGCTCTGAATTGGAAGTGTGCTTGGAATATTGTGGGGGTAGATAGGTGGGAGGAAACAAGATATGTATGCCTGAAAGCTTGGACTCAAGAGTATTGTGCTTTGCATGCCCAGTGGTACTGGGGACCACCTCCAGCTGTGCTTGGGGGACCGTGCAATGTCAGAAAATTAGATTTGGGGCTGATTATATAAGGGGCATGTGCTTTGCCTAGTTGTGCTTTCTTTCCCTTTAAATACTCTATATCATCAGAAGCCAGTGCAACTGATTGGTTGGAAAATGGGGGAATAGCAGAGGTAAGGTTGAGTAAAGTGACAAAGGTTAAGTGGGGATGGAGGCCTCCTGAGAATTTGGCTTTCACTCTGAGATGAAGCTGTAGGTAGGAAGGAAGTACATGTCCTGATTTCAATAGAATCCAAATGGATTGAAGTGGGGTCAGGGAGACTAGTTAGGCAACCAATTCATTAATCCTGGAGTGAAGGACTATGGCCAAGGTTAAAGTTGAAGAGGAAGTGGTTTGACGAAATCTGGTTATGTTTTGAGGACAGTTTACAATATATACTGGCAGATTAGATAATGAGTATGAAAAAAGAATCAAAGGACTCTGCTCAGCCTGGGTAACAGAAGAATGGAGTTGTCTTACTGAAGAAGAGAAGATTATGAGAATAGATTTGGGGATAGGTTTTGGAATCAGGAATTAAATCTTGAGCATTAAGATACCTATTATGGGAGATACTTGCCACAAAAGTAAGTTTTCACTGCATAGTTGTTTTTTTTTAAAACTACTGTCGTAACACAATGACCTGTGTTCTCCAAAGACTTATTGCTCACTTAGAAATAAAATACTCCTCCTAATGATGAACTTCCTTTCACTGAGACAGAAATTTGGGCCCCCTCTGCTTTCTCTTTAATTTTTGGCTGCCCTCTGAGGAAATGAGTTCTGGAGGTCAGGGCTGCTGTAGAGTTGCTGGAAAAATCTTGTGCTGGGCATAGCATTATGTTCTTTTGTTTGTTTTTGGAACACACCTGGCAGTGCTCAACGGTTACTCTTGCCGGTGCTCCGGAGACCATAGGGGATGCCAGAGATTGAACCTGGGTCTACCACATGCAAAGTAAACACCCTACCCACTGTACTATCTCTCTGGCCCCAGTAATGTGTTTTGGTAGCTTTTCACTTTTCTCATTCATATGTACCTTTATCCTTCATGGTTGCCATTTAAAAATCTTTGTCCTCAGTTTAACTGAATCTGAATGTTTTGCCACTTCTGCTCTTTTCTGGCAGTGGCAGAGCACAAGTTGTGTTTGTTTTATGTTTATTTGTATGAACTCACAGTTGGTGCTCAGGAGACCTTAGATTAGCAGTCTAGGGTATTTTCCAAGCCACTGTGGTATTGCCCAGGCCCTTCCAGGGCCATATCCAGTGATAGGGAACTGTATAGTGCTGGGGATCAAACCCAGGCGGGTGTTGCCCTGACAGCTGTATTTTCCAAAATCAGGTTTTGTTTTTTTAATATTCAGAATATATTCACATATGGCTCAACTCTAGAGCCCTAATCTTGTTGGAAGAGACCCTGGTTTAATCCCTAGCACACATGTTTTCAGAAAACAATTCTAGACTCTTAGGTCTGGATTTTTACTTTTCAATTTTCTTTAAAATATAACTGTATTTAATAACATAATAAGCAGAACATAGATTAAGATCAGAATATTTCTTCAGTGTAATTGTATTGTGTCCAAACATATTTTTAGGTGATATGATGGGAATGCTGGTTTGTTTAGATTGGCATTAGATTATAAAATGCAGCTTGTATATTAAACCACAGCATCAAAAAATTCCTCACAGCTGTCATTTATTTGCTCTGTGACAAGCACTATTCTAAATGCAGCATTCTAAATATATTACTGATACTTTAAAACACAAAGGAATCATGAGATAAGAGCCTTTGTTTCCTTTTACAAAAGAAACTTGCTAGAGCTCTGATAATTTGCCCAAGTTTTCCGTGGCTCTAATAAGGAGGCAGAATTTGAACTTTAAAAGGCTTGCTTCAGTTACTGTTGTTACTTCTCCCCTCTTTTTTTTTTCTGAGTGGGATTTAAGTACCATAATTTTCCAATGATTACCTTTAATCATGTAATCATTACCATTAATAATGATTATCAGTAATGCCACAGATTATAATGCAAAGAAGAATAAACATCAATAACTGTGCAGACCCAACTTGGAACCCCAGCACTGCTCGTGGTCCCCTAACCACACCAGGAGTGATGCCTGAGCACAGAGCCAGTAATAAGCTCTTAGTACTTAACAGTTGTGGCCCCCAAAACCAGAAGTTAAAAAGAATGGCAAGATTTTCTGTCTTATCTGAGGACCCACCTGATGGTACTCAGTATCTTCTCCAGGCTAAATATTTGGGAATCCATGTGATCCCAGACATCTATAACCTGGGCCACCCACATGCAAAGCTATTATCTCCAGTCCACTAGCATTTTTAAAAAGAGCACAAAAAGGTTTTATTTTTCTCATTTGAAACATGGAAATTTCATGTGGCACTGTAACAAAATAAGATAAAACCCTGAGTAGCACGAGAACTAGGGCTGTGTGCCTCAGTGGCATAGTGCATGACTTGCATTCATGACTAGTTCAATCTGTCTTTGCATCTTAGTAGTTGTCTGTGAATTTTAATACCATTGATTTTAATGCAAGTAGTTGTCTATGAATTTTAAATGTCTAAGTCCTGAATCATGAGAGGCAGTACTTGAGGAAAAGCTGGATTGAACTAAGCTAAGTACAGGAATGAGAGAATAAATTTTCCACAGAAAGGTGGTCACAGCCTGTAGGAGCTCCCAAAGCAGAAATCAGCTGGCAGCTGAAGAGGGGTACTGGGAGGAATCCCCCTCTATGCTTCTTAGGATCCCTAAAGTAATTACTTCCAAAGTGAAGTTTGCACAGACAGTGAGAAGAGTGGGAGCTTGAGAATGTATTATTGCCGCCACCAGAGAAGCCATAGTAATTTACGTGGAGATGTAAGAAGGAATCATAACAGTTTCTCCTCATTTTACAGGTGCTCTCATAAAGCACACACCCCAAACTACTCCCAATTTTGAAATAAGTATAGCTTCTCAAGAAGACTTTGGGGTGGGGTTGGGGCTGCAGGTGTTTGCTTAAGTGTGTAAATTCTCACAAGACGGTTAATGTAATTTTTATGTTAACCATACTGCACAAATAGAAAAATTGATTATATATTTTTTTAATTTATTTAATTCAGTTGAGGCAAAACTCCCTGAATCCAACACACAGTTGCTGTCTACTTGCAGAGCAAACAAATTAACTGAAGGGATATTTGTGACGAAATTAAAGAGACTTGGGATATATTATAGCCTTTTACAGAGAAGCATTAAA